TGCGGAATACTGTATATGCAGGATAAGGACAAAAAAATGCCCAATACCCACGACAACTGGCATTCGGCACTTTAATCCAATCAGGGAGGTACTGTCATAGAGTTGGAATCCCCGGGACCATGTTTTCCTCATAGTTTAAGGAAGGGACCAGATATTAAATTTTGATCTAGAAAGTAGTAAAAGGTATTTATCCGCACCCCCATTCGAGCGAAATGTGACACAAGGTCGTATTTAAAGTTGGATGGGAGCCCTCAGGTGCATGTACGGATAATAATTATTGAAACCCTCTCGACAGTTCCACTTTTGAGGGGCACCAGATAATGAATGACCCTAGCCACCTCCAGAAAGATAGATATTTCCTGAGGTTTGGGACGATTGTTGGGGTGCGTGCACTCCATATTGAATTTTAACCACCCGGCTCGCTTAGTAGCAAATCTCAAGTACGATCCTTCCAGATCTATAGATCCGGAAGCTTATAAGTCTATAGAACAGCGGTCGACAACCTTTTGGAGTGAGCGGACCAGAAAGCTATACGTTGTCTCAGTGAAGGGCCATGATATTAACTGTACTATAATAAACTGTCTCAGCCTCAGACTGCTCCATCCAGAAAGCTGTCTTGGTTTAGAGAGGTTTAAAAAAAAAATAACGACGTTAATGTTATATTATTTAAACAAGGTTTCTTATTTTACTGCTGGAATAACAGGATAAGCGCTAACACAATCAACAAAAATGCAAATTCCTTTACTACAAACAAAATTATTAAGGAGACCCTTGTTGTTCCCATACATATCTACTTCCAAATAATGATACCTTCATTTTCGCATTATACAATAGGCTTTTAAATTTTCCGCTTTGTAAAACATATTTATTGTAGAAGTCAGCATTTGATTCGGAATTAAATTTTGATTTTAAAATTCGTCGCATTGTAAGTTGTTATGATGTTGATTTGGGGTTAGTAAAGACAAACGCCAAATAACACGTAACACTAAAAAGGGGTTTATTAGGTTGGTAAGTAGGTACAGAAATCGCCTGAGTAGTCTATAACTAGCTCAGCCAAGAACTTCTGACTTTTGACATGCCACTATTTAACGTCTTTGTTTGTAGACAAGTTCATCTTCAAGAGGGGTGATAGGTTTCCTACACAACATAAGTAGATTAATTTTTTTTGACACTTGATCCACAAATTAATTAGATAATTAGTGTCCTGATATTAAGTTGGTGGGCCGGAGAAAAATCCTTCACGGGCCGGATGTGACCCAGGGGTCGGGGGTTGCCGACCCCTGCTATAGAATGATCGTACTTTGTGGGTTATATTATTGCCTATTCAGACTGACGTGTGTAGTCGGTATTTAGGCCTAATTAAAAGGCCAGTATTTAGAAAGCTAATTTTCAAGGCAAGCAGGCTGTGATTTATGTAACACAGTTTTACGATCCTAACTCTTTCGATTCAGTGGGTCTTGAGCGAGATTCAAAGACCGAAGTTGTTAAAAACTGGTTCATGGGAGGTAACTCTTGCTCGACTAAAAGTAAAATTTCATTGTTACAGAAATTGTGGAATTAAGATAAAAATAAAATACAAAAAAAATCATTTAAATTAAATTCAATAAATATCATTTAAAAATATCATTTAAATTAAATTCAATAAATATTTAAGTGATACAATATTAACCATGAAAAAATATTACAAACCGAGGTAAAAATAACATAATTTATTCAATTTAAATAATTTGTCGTCTCAGGAAAATTACATGAAAATTTACTAAGCTCGAGAAATTAAAAAGAAAAATCGGGAGATCCAGTGTGATGGCTTCACTTAACTTGACAATTATCATTAAAAATCTCGGCCTTCACCTGAGCTCGAAACCCTTCTATCGTTGCCAGTAAGTGCGAAATGGATAATTATATCCCCCTTATAAAAATAATCTGTACTAAGTTTAGTTTAGTTTGATCCAAGCACACGAGTATCGTAGTCCAAAGGGTCTTCTTAGGAAGCTTGCTAACAACTGGTCCATGGTGGGGCGCCCGAACAGAAAATATTATTATATATTAGTATGGTTACCCAGCGTTGCCTATCAAAATAATAATAATCTTCAAATTTATTATGAACAATTAAATCATATAATAATTTTCAATATGTATTTATTTTTATATTTCCTGTCCTATCTGTAGTGAGAAAGGGGATAAATCAACTTAAGTTAGTAAATTAATGAGTTATTATTTCCCTTAATCGTTTTAATAATCTATATGAATAAAATATTTATCTGCATTTTGGCAATAATTAATTCCCGAGCAAAAAGAACCGTTTTAAGTAATCAGTTCGTTTACTTCTACGTTTCTTAGATTGCAGTCTTATTTGTTCAAGCCTTTCATGCGAGGCACTCAGATACCTTTGTTAAATGATAGTCTTGCTTCAACTTGATCTTGGAATACGCTTTGTCGTCGCCGTCTTTGGCGTTCCGTTGCTAATCTTTTTCTTCCAAGAGATATTTTTTATTTCAATGTTATATTAAACGCATACAACTTTTAACATGGACAGATATTGGGCAAGAAAAAAAAGAAGAAGCGATTTATATAATAATAGGAGCAATCAATGAATCATAGATACGATTGAATGTCTAAAAATATATAAAGGGAACAGATTCAGTAAAAGGTTCATTTGCCTCTACTTTTAGTTTTGAAATCCTTATTTTATTGAATTTCAATACACTGTTTCAAGTCTTTTGTTTCATTGCACCTTAAAACTGTCTAACAAGTGCCGACATTTTTGACAGCACGGGTACGCTAGTATTATCATTAATACTACTAATAATAATATCATCACTACTACTACTACTACTACTACTACTAATAATAATAATATTTCAACCCCCTACGTCATTTAATTTATTGTGACAATATTCGCTACAATCCTATTATAATTGTGCTGTCGGAGTTAGCTCCTCCCTAATTGGTTACTAGGGGGCGCACTCTCTACACTATAAATACTGGGAAACTTCTTGCCTCGTTCTCTTTTCTACTTTGCATTTCAGCGGACACATTTAAAAATGTAATCTCTCACGGAGAACAGCGTTTTCGCCCACTTGTGGGAAAACGCCATGAAGCACACATACACGTACATACGAACATTCACCAAAATAGAAACTCTTTACGTCCACACACAAACACTAATGTTAATGTCTTTGTCACTTGTAAATTTGTTGCTTAAAACATATTTGTTGACATATTTATTTCGGTCTTGTTTGTCTTCTTTACATCCTCGGTTGGACACAATTTGAGTCCGCCATTTTCTTGTAGTTGGACCTTCTAGCAGGAAATAAACAGCAAGTGTTCCTAATTCAACAACATGTAAATACCCCCGGGCCTCTACAGTGCTTTTTGTTCGCATGACCGTCAATACCTAATAAATAATGAACTATTCTGTGTTGATCGTGTGGAAAGGGAGGAAGACATTACTTGGTTTCATTGAGAAAGAAAGAAAGAAAGAAAAAAAGAAAAAAAGAAAGAAAGAGAAAAAAAGAAAGAAAGAAAGAAACAAAAAAAGAAAGAAAGAAAGAAACAAAAAAAGAAAGAAACAAACAAAAAAAAGAAAGAAACAAAAAAGAAAGAAAGAAAGAAAGAAACAAGAAAGAAAAAGAAAGAAAAAAAAAGAAAAAGAAAAAGAAAGAAAGAAGTGTTTAACGTCTGTTTCAGTGAAATGGAAAAAGTTGTTCATGTTTATGATTATTATTGCAATGGAGAAACTATGAAATTTTCACTGGTTAAAAACAAGTTTAATTTCATTTTTTGTCGCTGTTTAAATAATCTATAAAGAAAACAATCTTTAACTCAGTTTTAAATTAAAACTTAGTTAGATTCTTTAAAACTTTTAAATCTTTTCTGTCAATTTGTGCCAGGCTTAAGCTCCAAACTACAATATTTAGACACTACGAATAATTAGTGAGTTCGAACCTTCCTGGGGGTCACATAAAAACTCCATAGTAAAATTAACCACCATCGATTAACAATATACAATAAGCAATATCATCCAAATAGAATTTCTAAAATATGAAATGGTTCCAGGAAAACTTGACACGAAGCGAGGCCGAAAGTTGAACTAAGCCTGCCAATTATTCATTCCTTACCGACGACCGCTATACTACCAGCACACACTGTATCTTGCATAGAAGTATATGTAAAATTTCAGATAGAGTTCACTGTGAAAAGGACAATATGAATAAAGACAAAAGGAAAACTTAGGTTCATTTTTAAATTTAAGAACGCCCATAAATATTCATCAGGTTAGCCGAAAAATCAGGCAAGCTATGGAGGACGACAAGTGACGCAATTCAATGTGTAAAACGAATGAGAGTAAAAATGATGTTCTTGAATTTCTTTAACTCGATCTGATCTGTTACCCCTAACTCTGGTGCCCCCGTTTCTGATCAAGGATCCTGTCCATATTTGGCAAAACAAAGAAACGTAGGCTTTCTCCAAAAATGGGAGGGTAGGAAAAAGTAGATTTTAAGAAGTGGAGGAGAATATGAAGGCGAGGATGATTTTAAGGGTAAGGAGGGAGACGCCGTGGGAAGTGGATTTTGTAGGACTAGTAATAAAATATCGACGCGCGTTAAATGAAGAGAAAATGTCATAGGAGTGGTGGTGGTGGTGGTGGTGGAAAAGAACCTTAGAGAGAGGAATTCAGACAGCCCCCATTATATATATATATATATATATATATATATATATATATATATATATATATATATATATATATAGGTGAGTGTGTGTGTGTGTGTGTGTGTGCGTGTGTGTTTGGCGGGGGGGGGATATATGAATGGAAGGGTTGCTGTCTACAATACATGAATGAGATGTTCACCATATCAGTGAGAAACAAAAGAAAGAAAAAGAGAAAAAGCAAATACATAAAAAAGAAAGAAAGAAAAATAAGAAAGTAAAAAGAAAAAAGGTATAAAAGAGAAATAAAGAAATAAATAAAAAAAATGAAAGAAAGACGAGAAGAACTAAAGAAAGAAAAATAAGAAAGAAAATAAAAAGGAAAGGTATAAAAGGGAAAGAAAGAAGAAAAAATGAAAAAAAAGAAAAGAAAAAAAAAGAAAGAAGAAAAAGAAAAAAGAAAAAAGAAAGAAAGAAGAAAAAGAAAAAGAAATAAAGAAAGAAGAAGAAAAGAAAGAAATAAAAATAAAGAAAGAAGAAAAGAAAGAAAAAGAAAAGAAAAGAAGAAGAAAGAAAAAGAAAAGAAAGAAAAAGAAAAAGAAAGAAGAAAAGAAGAAAAAGAAAGCCAAAAGAAAGAAGAAAAGAAAAAGAAAGCCAAAAGAAAGAAGAAAAGAAAAAGAAAGACAAAAGAAAGAAGAAAAGAAAAAAAGAAAGACAAAAGAACGAAAGAAAGAAAGAAAAAGAAAGCCAAAAGAAAGAAGAAAAGAAAAAGAAAGACAAAAGAAAGAAAAAAAAATAAAGAAGAAAGAAGAAAAGAAAGAAGAAAAGAAAGAAGAAAAGAACGAAATAAAGAAAGAAGAAAAGAAAGAAGAAAAGAACGAAATAAAGAAAGAAGAAAAGAAAGAAGAAAAGAACGAAATAAAGAAAGAAGAAAAGAAAGAAGAAAAGAACGAAATAAAGAAAGAAGAAAAGAAAGAAGAAAAGAAAGAAGAAAAGAACGAAATAAAGAAAGAAGAAAAGAAAGAAAAAGAAAAAAACGAAATAAAGAAAGAAGAAAAGAAAGAAGAAAAAAATGAAATAAACAAAGAAGAAATAGAACGAAATAAACAAAGAAGAAAATGAAATAAAGAAAGAAAAAATATATAAGAGAAAAAAGAAAATAAAGAAGAGAACAAAGAAAGAAAGAAAGAAAGAAAAGAAAGAAAGAAAGAAAGAAAGAAAGAAAGAAAAGCGAAAAGAAAGGATAAAAAGAAAGACAGAAAAAACGATTTAAAGAAGAAGTAAAGAAAGAAAGAATTTCTGTCAGGAGAGAAGACAAAAGAAAAACAAAAGGTCAAAAAGTCAAACAAGGATTAGATCACAAGGCGCCAAAAAGTACGACTGTAAATCTGAGAGACAAAGAAAGATAAGCAAACAAAGAAATGAAAAAAAGAAAAAGTAAAAGAAAGAAAATCTTCATTCCCGCCGTAAGATTATCAACAGGCCTAACACCGACGTGACTGACTTTGTTATTTTTTATTTTTACTTCGAGGTTTTTGGCATTTCTTCTTCTTTGCCGCGTCTTTTTAGGGCATAGGCGATCATTGCTCTCCACAACTTCCTATCCTGTGTGGCTCTTAGCAGTTATTCTCCCTTTGCTAAGCACCACCGCTCGTCATTCCGTCATCCATTCCCACAGACTCATCAGATATGTAGCTCGCTGCCTTCCCATTTCTCCCCTGCCGTCAGTATGCCGCGTGACGGTTAAATTTTCCAAGCCCTTCTTCCTCATGTGTCCAAGGAATTTCTGCCGTCTTTTCTTGATTTTGTGTAGAAGTTGTCATTTTCTTTAAGACTTCCTTGTTGCTCACTCGCCCCGTCCATAGAATTCTCAGTATCCTTCTGTAGAACCGCCTTTCTTCTGTCTCCAGTTCTGAAAGATTTGCATTTTCACTGAAACAGGCGTTAAACACTTCTATCTTCACCTCTTCCTTTCATTTTCTCAATGAAACCAAGAAGAGACTTTGATGGTTATTTTTAAGCGTTGCTTAGATGTGGTATAAGGCCGAAAGTACGGGACACCCAGTGAGAATCGATCTCACTACTCAGAAGTAATTGACCTAACAAAACTAATTAATAAAGAATGAGAAGAAAGAAAAGGAAAATAAATAAAGGAAAATAAATAAAATGGTATAAAAGAAAAAGAAAGAAAATAAAGAAAGACGAAAATAAAGAAAGACGAAAAGAAAGAACTAAATAAGGAAAGAAGAAAAGAAAGAACTAAATAAAGAAAGAAAAGAAAAAAAACTAAATAAAGACGAAAATAAGTTCCCCAAGTAGCGTATTTGATGTCTTTTGTCTTGTCATGCGATCAAAACGGAATAGTCTGTTATTTATGAGGTATTGGCATGGCGTAATGGTCGTGCGAGCTAACGAAGGGAGGGAGGGAGGGACAAGCACAGTTATAATAGGATTCGGGTACATCGGATAAAGTGTCAAGTCAAATATATGCTTCTATGGCCGATGTGCTGCAAAAGGCTATCGGGGCGGAAACTGAGTTTGGCGTACCAGCCTCAAATTCCATCCGAGGATTTTGCATTCACTTTCACGCAAATACTCTAGCAAACAAATGAATCTTGCTACGTGATGAGTACGGCTACACCTCTAAAAACATGTTTACTCAGGGAGGGGTTCCTCCAACTGGATTTGGATACTTTTTTATCACTTCACTCCATGCAAGGTCGATAATGCCACTAAGGCGATAGGGTCTACAGGAAGTTTTAGAAGGAACCGGAAAAATCAATCTTAAACAGGGAACAAGGAGTAAATCTATACTCCTGTTCAAAAGGCCAGGGAGGAGTGCCAACCGGACGATAGGCGAACATCTACTCCTGTAACTATTTTAGAAGCTAAATGTTTTAAGGAAGAAAAAAAAAGCGAAGTTTTCTGATTTTTTAAAGAATAATGATTTTAGACAAATTATACATCTCGATTGAGACCAGGTATTTAACTTGTCTCTCCACCAAGACGAGTTGTGGCACAAGGTCTTTTTTTAAGGCGGGGGCCCGAGCGCGTACACCCGGGCTAGGAACAAAAATTGCCCGCAGACCCCGCAACCGTCAGTTGAGCTGGCCTCGGTGCGAGCATCGATCCCTCTCTCTGGTGCAATGAGAGGGCGCGACCTCGGCCAGCTGTTCCCCCAGGGTTCGGCACCTCTCAGTATAATCTTTCTCAGTTGCCACTCTGCCCAAGGACAGAGAGGCAACCTTAGAGATGATAAATAACGTGTTACAAAACTCTCGAGGGAGGGACTGATTAAGACTAAGAAGAAAACTTTAGTCGTCTTTTGCTTAATCCCAAATTTCAACAAAAAAAGAAATCCCTGAATCGCCTTCTCCAACCCCATATACCGCTTTTGATGCTTTTATCTTAGCTTTTTTACTCCATTTCGATGTTGCTTTTTTTTTTTTTTTTTTCCTGCCTCTCCTTTCTTTCAGGATTGTTCCCGCCGAAATTTGAGATGTCTGTGCCAAAAAAAAAAAAAAAAAAAACCCCAAGAGTTACAAAATCAGCGGATGGAATGTAAGAAAATCGGTAGGGTGACATTGCTAATAGAAAAGCGGTTTTGAATCGTACAGTAGTAGGCACTTAAGTTAAACTTAAGAGGATATTTTATTACCATTACTCATAAAGCGAAACCCCATATTCTGGTTAATATCTCATTCCTATTTATCTTTTGTCAGTGGGGCGGATAATGGTTCTGTTTCCTCCTCTTCAAACCAAAAATTAAAATGTCAAGATATATATATATATATATATATATATATATCTTGACATTTTAATTTTTATATATATATATATATATATATATATATATATATATATATATATATATATATGTTAAATTCCCAGATGAATTCTGTGGACATTTCGATTTCATTTTTTGCCTTGAAAAAGTCAGAAGACGAAACGCGTCGGCAAAATGTAAGATTTTTTCCAATTGTCATTTGATACCATATATATATATATATATATATATATATATATATATATATATATATATATATATATATATATAAACAGAGAGAGAGAGAGAGATGGTTGAATATGAAGTGATTGCTAGAGAATTGGGAACAAGTATGGAACAAAAAATAATAGTCATACCTATAATTATTAGAGCACTTGGAACGAACAACAGAGTTTTAAAGATTAGTATTGAAATCCATCCAAGATTGAGTTGAAAATATTTATTTAATTTATAGAAGTTATATTGAATTCGGAAAATATTGAAGCATCTTGTTGCCACTTGATACCTACCGAAAGCTTGTGTGAAAAGTCATAGAATAGAATTAGTAGAAAATATTTTAATCGTTGAAGAGAGGACGCAACGTGTTTTTGAAGCGATAAAAACTCTTGTAATGCCAATCCTTTGTAATATACGCCTGCCTCGCTCTGTCGATTCGGTCTGGTTTGGCTGTTTCGGCTGAGAGGTGCGGATCGTATTTCAAGTGACATCTGGTTTTGAATATATTCTCAGAAAAAAAAAAGAAAAAAAAAACGACTCATTTGGCGCTATTTTGAATTTGCAATCCCAACCTTAAAACGCTTCTTCCCGCCCATTAAAATTTGCATGATGACATTTCAAACTGAAAATCTGGAAACTATTTATGGCTTCAGTGAAGGTAATCAATATAATTAAAAGTGTTTTCAATTTAATACAAATTCAAGGACCAACAATATTAAACAGGATATAAATCCATGACGATTTTTAAAAAAAAAATCAATTCACCTCAAGTAAGGCGATAATGCCACTAAGGTGCAAGAGGCTACTGGAAATTAAAGAGAAAGAAAAGACTTTAAGAAAGAACCAGGAACCCAATCGTAAACAAGAAACAAGGGATAAACCTCTACTCCTGTTCAAAAAACCGGGAGGGATGTGAATAGACGAACCTATCTACTTTTATTGAAAAAAAATAGTAAATAAAATTTCAGATTTTCGGTGGAGATATTAAAATTCTAGAGATGAAGTAGACTTTATAAAGGAGCTGGAAACGCTATCCTAAATGGGGAACAATAGATAAAAACCGAGGAGGAGTGTGAACTGGGCGATAGATGACCCTATCTACTCTTATTAAATGACTTAAAAGTTTCAATTATTGTACTTTTTTACGGCCTGACAAATCTCCATGAGTGGCCAAGGTTACTAGGGGTGGAGAATAGATCTTTTTTTCTTTTATCGAGTCACCGTCCCTTAGACTGGTTGCCAATCAAAGCTAGTGGGCCCAGTCTGCCCTGCTATATAATTTATAACTGGAGGAGAAAAATGGGTTCATATCTTTCCCAAGCGGCATTTATGCGAAGGTAGACATAACGAACTCGACCGGAATTCGAACTCGGCACTCTGATTTACCTTTACCGGGTCGCTAACCGTTACGCAACTCTCACATCATTTCACTGAAAGATTATCTGTTCTCTGTTTACGATGGCGAAATTTCGATCCCGGCCTGCCTGGGGTGATCCGTTTAAATTTGCAAGTCTCGTAGAATTTTAGATTTTCTATCTTCCCTAGACGGCTGTGAGGGTAGGGTAACGGTTATCGGCACAGAAGGTAGAACCAGCGCGCCGAGTCTGCGGCGTTCGTTTTTACGCCAAGCTTCTTGGGAGAGGCATGACTCTGTATCTTCTCTCCTGTCAGTTCTGAATTAAATAGCAGCGTAGTCTTGGGGCTAGACTTGAGGGTCTACCAGTTTAAAAGGAGGAAAACTCTTTGAAAACTGTGGAGAAGGCAACAGGAAACCACTCCGCTATCTTTCCCATGAACGCATTGTAATTCATAGATAATCAAAACGAAAGAAATATGTGGAAAAAGTCATTATCGCCTACGTCCTGAAGGGACATGGTATTTAAAAATATTCTAGGCTTGTTACTGCATTTTGGGGGTGAGGGCGAGTAACATTATAAATGGCAGAATGTGAACAGGGAGAGATAGGCGTCAAATTTTGCTTTACAAAGGATAGGAAGTCGTGGAAGAGCCATAATCGCGCACGTTCTGAAGGAACACAGCGCGTCAAAGAAATATCTGATAACTCTTATTTGGGATCAAGTGGTAGCAAGCCTTCTCAAATCACCAGCGCTTTATTCAGTATTCGAAAAAATTTGATTTTTTTTTTTTTTTTTTGTTGTTGTAAATTCGAAATTATTCTAGTTTTACATCGAAACTCTTCGGAATCGTTGTCAACGCCCCAAAAACATTCGTTTAATTTCCCATTCGTTCTAATCTTTCCTTCGCTTAAGTCATTACATTTCTAGTTTGTCTTTCAGCAAATCATCAATTACATTTTTGATTAAACATAATGATTGTCTAACTTCAGTATTCTTTCTTTCCATCTTTGCTGTTTACTTTTTTGTCTATCTCTTTCCCTTTCCTGCCTTTCTTTTTCAAGCAATTTCCTTACTTCTCTCTGTCTTTTTTATTTCGTCTTTTTTCCCCCCATCATTCTATTCTTTCTTTTTTTTTATCTTTCTTTCATTCAATTTTTTCTATTTAGTCTCTCTTTACTGTTTTCTTTTTTTCTTTTTTGAATTTTCTTTCTTTTTTCTTTCCTTCTTTCTTTCTTTCTTTCTTTCTTTCTTTCTTTCAATGATTCTATCTTTTCTACTTTGTTTTTATTATCTTTTTCTGTTTTACTCTTTTTTCTTTTTTTTCTTTTACTTTGATATTCTTTCTTTTTTCTTTTTTTCTTTCTTTCATTCAATCATTCTATCTTTTCTGTTTTCCTTTTCTATTTTGCCGACTTCGTTTTTTCTTTTCTATTTTTCTCTGTCCTGCTTTGTTTTTCTTTCTTTTCTATTTTGTCTCTCTTTCTTTTTCATTGTTTTGTTTCTTCGTTCTTTCCATTTTGTATTTCTTTCTTTTCTATTTTTCTTTCTTTCTTTAGCAATGACAAAGTTCAGATAGAAAGAACTCCGCCTTAGATATTAAAACTTAAATAATGTTTATTTGACGTGTTCAAAATGTTGCCCGAAACCCCACCCACGAAAACATTAAGTTCTAAGCTGATATATTGTGCCGACATTTTTATGTAGACATTTTTCAACAACTTAATTAACTTTTAGGCGGCGATAACCATGTCTGCGTTCAACAAGAAAAGAATGCATAATTTTTTCATTTCAGACACATTCCCATCACATTGACTCCCACACTTACTCTCAATTTTTTCATCTGTTTATTCATTGTTTTATATGCGTATGTGTAGTATTTACATACTTTTAAAAAGCTTTCAAAGGAATTTAAAATAGATCACGCTTTTATTTGTATTATTCGTAACAAAGAAATATACGACTATATAAACCTTTTTTTAAAAAAATCAGTCCTACTCGAAGGTCTGTCAGACATGGGAGGTAATGGACTTTATTCTCGCATGCTATGACACGTGGCACGAATATATATATATATATATATATATATATATGCAATGTAACCCGGATATAAGAGAGTTGTCGGGACCGGAGAAGAAGTCTCTTGTATCCGGGTTTCTCTTATATCCGGGTTTGGTCTATTTTATATACATTAACACAGGCTCTAATTTGGGACCAGAAAAAATCTCTCTTATATTCGGGTTTCTATTATATCCGGGTTATATATATATATATATATATATATATATATATATATATATATATATATATATTTGGAAAAGTTTTTGTCTCGCCGATTATCCAGCGATATTTAAAAAATAATTTTATTTCACAAGAATGGTATTAATTTTTTTCACTTTAAACAAGGGGATTTTCTTTTAAATGTATCGTCATAGAAATGTGATTTTTTTTTTCTAACAAATTTTAAGCCAGATTTTATTTGTATTTTTTAATTTTTAAATCGGTATCACCCCATGCAAGGCAATAAAGCCACTAAGACACAAGTGGTTACACGTGGAAGAATTAGGAACGCAAATGTTAAATAATGAGCGGGAAGAGAAAAGAAAAGAGTAATCAGCAGGATTAGCGATTGACGTTGTATTTAAACTTTTGTGGATTAAAGTTGGCTGGAAAGCATGGAGTTGGAAGAGAGTTTCACAAGCGAGAAGTGCGAGAAAAGAGCATAGAATTTATTTTACGCTTACATCTTACCAGCTCAACTGTAAATTGATGAGATTTAGTTGTGTTTTTTTGTTTTGTTTTTTTTTTTTTATTTTATTTTCGTGGTTTTACGTATTTCAAATTGTTTCAGTATTAATTTACTAAGAACTTATATATCCCCCGTTTTAATAAGGGGTGCTGAAAAATTCTCATCAAGCGCTTTTCCGCCATTCCTGGACCAAAATGTACTTCGTTTCGAAACGTTTTCCCTTTTCTCACAATCAACCTAAAGACGAGTGTTGCTTATTGAATAGCATCGGCATCGTTTTTTTTTTTTTTTTTAGGGTGACACCTTGAATTTTCTTTTTATAGAAATTAATCACTGCCACTCCCGTGATCGAGCACGCTAACAAACACACAAAGATACGCATGCACGCCCCCCCCCACACACGTACACAAAGACATACACAGGGGCACGCAAACACATACGTACGCACGCACGCACGCACGCACGCACGAAGACATACACAAAAACCACACAAACACAAATAAACTTAAACCTGCGTACATGAGAAATAGTTATCACTATGGCTTGGGTAAGTGATTGATAAAACAGAAAAAAAATTAATTTAATAAATGACACGTTTCATTCAGAAATATATAATTATTTTGAAATATAACAATTTAAACAACCAGTATTCATTGAAACTGGTTTTGATTTTTTTTTAATTGCAAGAAAATCGTCAACAGGTACATGTAAACGCCCACCTTCAAATATAAATAAAAAAGCGAGCCCATTACTAACGAAGTGAGATTGCTACGTAATGTCGTATCTTACACCACACGACGGCAAATAATACGAGAATACATGATACAACAAGCTAAAATAATATAAAAACTTAAAAAGCTTTCATTCTTAAAGCCTTTTTAAGGAAACCAAAACTTATTGAGATTTTGAATATTATCAAGTTACTGAGACTTTAAATAAATTCTGCTTAGAGAGAAACGTTCCTTGGGTGTAGCCACGTGCATGCCGTATTCATAACGCACGGACACCATAATGCTGACATTTAAAGAAAAATATCGTTATAAAAAAAAAAAAAAAACTAAAACCGCCAACATATAGTATTTGGCGCCAAAGTCTTAGATCTTGCTAATGGCTAAACGAAAGCGCTCGAACAAATACTTCTTAGACTGAAAATTGGATGGTAACAAGTAAAAATAAATAAATAAGTATAAATATTTTTTTTTAGTCTTTAAAGCCGCTGCCCAAAATTCGCACGCACAAAAAATAAAAAGTATGAAAAACCTATTTTCCCGACTTCAAGTTTCGTTGAAATTAATACGTTCATTGTATAGTTAATTTAAATCGAACGAATTTACGTGGCAGTTATTTAACTTTACTTAGTTTTTGTCTAAAGAAAAAAAAAGTTACAGAAAGCAAGCTTAGTTTTTGATGTTATACAAAACAGCAAGTAAAAAAATTATCCGAACTTTCGCCGTATGAGTGCAGATAGTTTCTTATTTATTTGCATTCCCTCATATTTTAAATCCGTTTTTTACTTCACGACCTTATTTCTCAAGGACGTTATTACGTGAGGCAAGTAATTACTATTAGTAACGAATGCTGTATTTCTTAATATCCAACGCTTTATTTTAAAAAAAAACAAAAAAACCTGCTTGCTTTAATAAAAGCGTTATATTCTTAAATACACTGATCGGCGTTTTTTTTTTACTGGGCGAAACACAATCTTCGTTAATTTGCTGGCTGATAAAAATTTATATATATATAAATTTTGATCAATAATATATATGTGTGTGTGTGTGTGTCAAAATGAATAAAGTATTCTTGCTTGCTAGTGATATGTTGCCACTTTTTAAAAGAATTTTTTGTGGATTATCTGTTGCCACCTTTCAATTTACAATATTGCTGATCTTTTATAAAGTTAGACGTGGTATTTAAAATGTGTTTAATAATTGTTTTTTAATTAAAACTTTTTTTTCTTCAAATTTATTCGCTTACTTGTGTAAATGTAAATAAAGTATATTTAGGTAACACGTCTTCATTCAAACAAGTTTAAAAGAACCCACAACGTCTGTTTCATGCTTTATCGTATATTTGGAAATAGATAGACAGCTAGACCTCTTATCGATGTAGCGAGTTCGAATTTTGGCTGTGTTGACCTGTAGATAGAAAAGCATAAACTAACTTCTTTTTTTTTTTTTTGTGAAAGATACAATAAAAGTAAAACGTTAAACAGACAAACCTTGTCGGTTGTGTGTGTGTTCGTGGTTGAGTTCCCGTCAAGCATGCTAATGAATTTATCAGCCATTTTTTCTACTTTTACTACAGCCTAAGAAGGGAAAGTAATAAAATACTTACTCGCCAACGCAAATATCATACCATACATATTTTTTTTTTCATAGGGCAGAATGAAGGGTTAAAACTGATTCATGCCTTTTGAGAAAGGCATGGAAATCAACTCAGTATAGGGGCAGTTAGTTTCACGGTTCAATGCAAAGCTTATCAAGTATACTGCAAACTTTAATTTTGAGTAGCCACCCGTTTTTAAACAGTACGTATTACGTCTTCCGACCGACGCACTCAAGAAAACTTAAAGAAAATGTACCCGCACCTCTTGGACGGGTACGAACCCGTGTTGCCCTTTATAAATGACTAAAGATTTATAGTTGTATTACTTATGGCACGGACTAATATCTCTACACATAGCGCTTAATGTTTTAAACATATAACCGAATGGGTAAATTTGAAATTTAGAGTTATGCAATCGATGTTTGGTTGGATAGATGTGAGTTTGTGACCCTGGGTTTCACACTTTAGCGATCGTCAGACAATTTTGGGTTTCACGCTGACGATCGCTAAAGCGTGAAACCCAGGGTCACAAACTCACATCTATCCAACCAAATATGTTAGCTCTATCTCTGATATTGAGCGCTTTCTAATAAGTACCGCGCATATAATATATAAATAATTATACATATATATATTTGTTTATATGCAGACATTTTTCATATATATATAGTGTAACCCGGATATAAGAGAGATTTTCTCTGGTCCCAAAGTGTTCCCATATTACCTAAACAAAATAGACCAAACCCGGATATAAGAGAAACCCTGATATAAGAGACTTCTTCTCCGGTCCTGACAACTCTCTTATATCCGGGTTACACTGTATATATATATATATATATATATCTTAGGAAATGGTTTTAAATCTGACCTATTTTTATATTTATTTTCTTTAAATGTTATTTTTCATGGATATTTTTTATACTTATATTTTAGTAGAAGCTCTGTTTTTTTTTTTTTTGTTTTTTTTTTTATAATTAAACAGTATTTTATTTTATATTTTTATCAGTATATAAGAAGACTTTAAGAGAAACGAGAAACCCAATCCTAAACAAGGGATGAACCTCTACCCCTGATCTATCTCTCTCTCTCTCTCTCTCTATATATATATATATATATATATGTGTGTGTGTGTGTGTGTGTGTGTGTGCGTGCGTGTGTGTATAAATTTCAGATATCATACTGTATATATAAATAAAATTATGTGTGAAAAGACAATAAAGACAAAACAAAACTAAAATCTTTTATTTACCGACGCGTTTCGTCATCTGATGAACTTCATTAAAACAATCAGATAGAGTAAATGACAAAACGAATAAAAAAAATATATAAAATAAATGAAAACTTATGTTAGCTGATGCATTTCGTCCTCTGAAGGACTTTATCAAAGCAAAGCAAAGAGATATTTTTTTTTACATTCAACATCATCACTTGATAATTAAGACACAGGGGTGTTGAAACAAAATAGCTATTTTTGTAGTGATTTTATAACATTTATGTTATAATTTTTTAAATAAATAATTATATATATATATATATATATATATATATATATATATATATATATATATATGTGTGTGTGTGTGTGTGTGTGTATAATTCCATGACTGGTTAATCGAATATGGTTATTTATAGCATATTATTATTATTATTATTATTATTATTATTATTATTATTATTATTATTAACAAATAAGTTAAGGCCACTGCTGCGTTAAAAAATTTACACTGTTACACTAATTTTACAAAATAATCTTTTATGCGTCAAAAGTACATGATCAAAATTACATACAAAATAAATTAATATTTACAAACTTAAATATTATATTACAAAACTGAAATCAAATAGGAATTATTAACCTACATTATACATTGTAAAATAAAAAATAAACTAGTGAAATTGAAATACAAGTGAACTATACATTGTATTGTGTGATCGAGAATATCTCTCCTCCTTCTTTTTCTTCTTTTTTCTTTTTCTTCTTTTTCTTAAGGCCTGCGAGGGTTTTGCGCATTTTGCCTTGTCACATGCCGAGAAAATCCAGACTTACTTCAGCATTCTATATATTACAAATTGAGTGGGTTAAATAGAGAAATTAGTAACGTGTTGAAAGTCTTCCATACGCATATGACTACTTAGTCTGACCATTTCGAGCGAGGTAGAAAAGTTTCCAAATATGTGAAAATAAATTTAAATTACTTTGTGCTGGCAAAAAAATGCAACAGTGAAAGCATCTTTTTTTTTACATTTTTTTTTATTTTTGTACCTTTTAGCACGCAACACTTTGCAAACTAACAGGTTGAGAACGACAAACTAAGTTAAAATAAATATTTACTTACAAAATATTTACCAATTAAAAAACGAAAAAAAATCCACTTTACCTTAGTGTGGCGCGAGTCTACAAAGCACAGATCGTCGATGGAGTATGGGACTCATTCAACATGAGCGAGGGCTTGCCCGATTAGTTCGCTAATCAGCACCCTACAACGTGGCATATTTGTATTCGTGGCCTATGTAAACTATCTCTATCTCATTCTCTTTATCTCTTATTCTGTTTAGTTTATATCTATCTATCTATCTACTCGAAACATTATTTATTTGTTCATCTATTTATTTATCAGTCTTGGAAACATTTCAAATTTGTTATCTATTTATTTATCAGTATATATATCTATCTATCTATCTATCTATCTATCGAAACATTATTTATTTGTTATCTATTTATCTGTCTACTGGAAACATTAAACTCAAATCGTTATCTATCTATCTATTATCTATCTATCTATCTATCTATCTATCGAAACATTATTTATTTGTTATCTATTTATCTGTCTACTGGAAACATTAAACTCAAATCGTTATCTATCTATCTATCTATCTATCTATCTATCTACTCGAAACATTATTTAATCATTTATCTGTCTACTGGAAACATTAAACTCAAATCGTTATCTATCTATCTATCTATCTATCTATCTATCTATCTATCTATCTATCTATCCAACTGAAACATTATTTATTTGTCTATCTATTTATCTGTCTACTGGAAACATTAAACTCAAATCGTTATCTATCTATCTATCTATCTATCTATCTATCTATCTATCTATCTATCTATCTACTCGAAACATTATTTATTTGTCTATCTATTTATCTGTCTACTGGAAACATTAAACTCAAATCGTTATCTATCTATCTATCTATCTATCTATCTACTCGAAACATTATTTATTTGTCTATCTATTTATCTGTCTACTGGAAACATTAAACTCAAATCGTTATCTAAATCATCTATATTATCATTATCTATCTATCTATCTATTACTCGAAACATTATTTATTTGTTCATTATTTATCTGTCTACTGAAAAACATTAAACTCAAATCGTTATTATCTATCTATCTATATCTATCTATCTATCTATCTATCTATCTATCTCTGAAACATTATTTATTTGTCTATCTATTTATCTGTCTACTGGAAACATTAAACTCAAATCGTTATCTATCTATCTATCTATCTATCTATCTATCTACTCGAAACATTATTTATTTGTCTATCTATTTATCTGTCTACTGGAAACATTAAACTCAAATCGTTATCTATCTATCTATCTATCTATCTATCTATCTATCTATCTATCTATCTATCTATCTATCTATCTATCTACTCGAAACATTATTTATTTGTCTATCTATTTATCTGTCTACTGGAAACATTAAACTCAAATCGTTATCTATCTATCTATCTATCTATCTATCTATCTATCTATCTATCTCTACATACACAAACAGACACACTCACTCACACACACACACTCTCTCTCTCCCCTGTATATAATGACTAACTTATGACTAAATGATTGCACATGCTCAAAAATGTAAAAATACATGCGATGCGATTGAGTACATGCACATACGTTTATGAATTCGCGTACGTAAATGTAATGCACGCAGAAGATGCTATAAAACGCACATGTGTTATACACATGCTTACACTGAGTATATTTTCATAATGTTAAATATGCACATATTTGTACACATTTTTATTTTGGAAGACAACCTTCTAAACACAGAACCTTTAACCTGATTTTAAAATCGAAAAAGGAAATAGATATTTTTTTTGTAAAAATTGAAAATTAACTTCTAGTTTTTTGTTTTTTTTGTGTGTAATCATTTCATAAATGATGCTTTCTGAAATAAGATAATGTCATAAAACTTTTCCGCAACAAGTTTTGAAATAATTAATATACTTTGAACTTACATGTTTTCCATTCTCTGCTTTCGTGCCAGTCTCGGGATTCTGTTTTGCAGGCTCTTTTTCGTCGGTCCTGATGCCAAGGCTCGTTATGGCAGAAGAAATAGTATTTCATTGTTTGTCCTTACTTCTTCCTCCTCCCCCACCCCACGGCCATCACCAACCCCATCCCCGACTCACTCTGAGTACTGGCTTATCAAGATCGGTGGAGGAATTTTTAAGAGTGCCGGCCTAAAAGTAGGAGTGGATCGGACCGGGTGAGGATGGCAGGGAGAACCAACATGGGATGCAAAGGGCGGGGAGTCATGATGAATGTTAAAGAAAAATTGTTTGCTTTCGTCTACACCTTGCAGTTTTTTATTTCTCGACTTTTTTCTTATTGTATATATATATATATATATATATATATATATATATATATATATATATATATATATATATATATAAAACCCACATCACATACACGCATACGTAGTTGACGGATTTTATCTGTGTGCGTGTGTGTCGCTGTGTAGATGTAATAGGCTTGTTAATGAAATTTGAGGAATAAAAAGCTAACAAAATGATAACACTATTGGCAATAAAATGTTGACGGAACTGACACCAAATCGGTTGGGTTTCAATCCGGGCTTGAGGCATTCGGATGTCTAGTCGCGCTGAAGAGCTATGATACAGCGAAACAGTACTGTCTGCGAATGACATAATATACAGTGAAACCCGGATATAAGAGAGTTGTTGGGACCTAATTTGGGGAGAAGAAGTCTCTTATATTCGGGTTTGGTCTATATTATATATATTAACACAGGCTCTAATTTGGGACCAGAAAAAATCTCTTATATCCGGGTTTCTCTTATATCCGGGTTACATTGTATATATATATATATATATATACTCTCTCCATATATATATATATATATATATATATATATATATATATATATATATATATATATATTATTAATAGGAATCTTATAAGTATAAGAAACTATACTTGCTCGGAAAACTTTCAGCGTATTGATTTGCTAATAAACAAGCCAACCCCAAAGGGAGGGAGTATAAAAAAAAGAAAGAACCAAGAACATGTACGCTAACCGAAAATAATCGTCCAGCATACGAGTTCAAGGCCGAAGGAAAAAAAACCCCGATGCGTGTACCCAAAACAACTAAATAAAGTGCTCAATACAATGAGTAGAGCAGACCTAATTAAACCTAGAGAGTCAGACAAACCTACCAAAGTTTCACCTAAGCGGATCGTCAAGCAACCTTGGTAGGTTTGTTTGGCTCTCTAGGTTCAACCCCTGTCTTCCAGTTTATATCTCGTAGGTTGAGTTGGTCACCTGCTCAGTTCGAACCCAGCTTGTTTCGATATCTCAATCCTGGTTATTGGATAAGGAGAGTTATACAACTTCCAAACTGCTTTACGGATTGGTGCTAATATAAGTCGTCGATCGTCCAGTTTTGGTTCTTCAAGTGTTGCGATTCTTACAGTCGAAGAATATTGTCTTCTTTTAGTCAATAAACCGTAGTAAACTTCTTGTTGACGACTGAGCTGACTGGAAATAAGGCCATGCTCTCACCAAAGAAATCGTAATGCCAGTTTGGGTTAAATATAGACGATTTAATGAAGGCGAATAAAATAATTTAAAATCGAATATATTTGGCATCTATTAACACAAAAAAATCAGAAGGCAGCGAGTTACAATTTCGATCTATGTGTTCAGGACGGTTCAATCAGAAATTGGGTCCCTTCGTCGCTCGGGTGTACAACTGCGTGTGTGTTTGACGACTCGCCTGTCTCTGTCGTCTCGGCCTATCTACGCTGTATCCTCAAAATCCAACTGAATATATACATAATCCTCGGCCACATATTAAACTATCCACATGCCGAAATAACTCAATTTTCCATTGTTCATAGTCGGGGTTAAAAGGCCAAATCCTATGTTTTGATTTTACACCATTTCATTCATAGGCATAACTCCAAAAGCAAAACATATTCGGCTGACATATGCGTCAGAAACGAAAAAAAAAATTGGGGAAATTATTAAGGCTTAGAATAATACACATCAATCCATTCCAAGTCATCGTCTTGAAATTTAAAAACTACGATATTTGCCAATATCAAGTTACTTGATATATATATATATATATATATATATATATATATATATATACATTACATGAATCACTCATACAAAAAACAGATATAGAAGTTAATGATTTAAATGGCGAGAATACATCTTCGCAAACAAATTTAATAAAGTACATTAACCCCGAACCTGTATATGAATGTTAAGATCCCTGTTTATAAATTTCAGTTACATAAGGTCTTTTTTAGTTTTTTACAAGCTTTCATACCTGATGATGTCTGTAGGAACAGTCCTACAGACATCATCAGGTATGGAAATAGATTTGTTTTTGTTTTTTACTTCTCGGTAATAACAGGACAACGAAAATATAGATGTAATCCGAAAAATGGTTTTAGAAATGTGTTATTGTTAATTGTAAGAAATTTCTTTTGGAGCGTGCGGTCGCAACGCTGAGGTTGAATTTTTAAATTTTAAGATTGTGCGTTTTTGTACTAATATGGTAATAGGAGAATTCTTTTGTACTTGTAGGTTTTTCAGTCAATGTAGCATGAACTATATTGTTCAATAAATACAGAAATATCACAGTTATTATCCGAAAGTTGCACGTCGAATCAGTTATTTTAATATCAAATATGTGGTACAGTTCAATACAATTACTATATTCGGGATTCAGGGTTAAAGTACTTTATTAAATTTATTTGCGAACATGTATTCTCGCCATTTAAATCATTAACTTCTATATCTGTTTTTTGTATGAATGATTCATGTAATGTAAATTGAACTGCACCACATATTTTATTTTATATATATATATATATATATATATATATATATATATATGTATGTATATATTATCTTCAGAGTTGTCCTTCTAGACTAGTTGCCATCCAATGCTACAGAACCCTATCTGCCCTGCTATTTCCCCATAGCTGGAGGGAAAAGAGGATTAATACCTTTCCCAAGAGTATTAGCCCGTAAATGAATATAATGGATTCGACTGGAATTCGAACTCGGTTCTCCGATTCCTCAATCCGAGCCGCTATCCACTACTCCACCGTGCCTTCAAAACCTGTGAAGTGTTGTTTAGGGGCATTAACGACAAAGTCTGGTTGGTTCTGCACAAAGCCTTCATCACTATAATCAAATCATATGTGCTGGGGTCTGGGCTGTCGGTTCCTAGGAACTGAGCTGCTTGATCTTCATACGTCGAATACGACCGGTGAGTCCACCATATTATCTTCTATATACACAGCTGACGGATTATATATATATATATGTTTTATATATATACGAAGTTGACATATTTTTTATTCCGACGTTAATTTTATTAAATTCGCTGTTTTAAAATGGATGTTTCTTCAAACACGTGTACTCAGTGAAATAACGCTTAATAAGGATATATATATATATATATATATATATATATATATATATATAGTAAGAGTAAGACATTGATACATGTAAAATTATATAATTCTATATCAAAGGCGAACCGAATTTTTATCAATAAAGTGCTCAATAAGCAGTTAAAGCAATTGTATAAAATATTCAAAGTTCGCGTTACTTATCGAAGATCAACTTAGAATTTCAAGATGCTTCGCTCTTCAGGAGTCACTTCCAAAGTGTGAAACACACACACACAAACACATATGTATATAGACAGA